CCTTCCCGGTAACTGTACTTCCAACCAGTGCAGTTGGCTTCGTGAGTTAGGTGCTTGCTTCATAATTCGTAAAATCCAAGTTCGCTCACGGAGGTGAGAAATAATTTTTTTTTTAATGAGTGTTTTTATTTATTTGTATTTATTTTGATGATATTGATATAGTATGCAAATTTTTGAAATAGAAAATTTAATTTAATATCACATTCTAAACATTAATTTAAATTTAATTTTAAGGGAATTTTAATTCAAGTAATAATATTTGAAATAATAAATAAGTAATAATAATAATATATAAGTTATTTGTAATGGATAACATATAAAGACAACGTATCTAAATTTTCAAAGTGTTTAAATTTAAAATTTAATTGGAAATAATATTAACAGTATTTTAAATTTCTAGTTTTTAAAATAATTAATCGTAAAAGAAGAAGAATAAACAAACATCTGAAATGTGAATGTGAATATTTTTATTACAAAATTCAATTATTTAAGTATTGCGGATTTATTACAAAATTAAATTATTTCGATGCGGAACAATTACTTGGATGATAAACATCATAAAAACATTTATAGCATATAAATTTTCTACAGTTTGCACAATGAATAAATGAAGGAGTATCACATACATATTTATTTTTCCGTAAGTCCGGGGGGAAACATATTTCGTTGACGTTTCAAAACACATTTCTTTCAGGAATTAATTTCGATGCAAACCAAGCGTACTTGATCATATCTGTAAAAGCTCTCGATGATAATTGTGAATGAATTAAAGAATGAATCTTTTTATACTATATCAATATCATCAAAATAAATAAAAATAAATAAAAACACTCATTAAAAAAAAAAAAATTATTGCTCACCTCCGTGAGCTCCGAACTTGAATCTTACGAATTATGAAGCAAGCACCTAACTCACGAAGCCAACTGCATTGGTTGGAAGTACAGGCTGCGTTCCGTTTCCACGCATAATGCGCATGAAGCGCAGCGTTAGAGTGACAGAGATACGAAAGTAAGATAAAATGAGAGGGAAGCACTCGGGTGAGGTTCTCGAACCTAGGTTAGGTTAGTTTTCGAACGCATGAACTGCCTCAGCAGGTAGTGCAGTCCATGCGATCTCATGCGTTCGAGAACTAACCTAACCTAGGTTCGACAACCTCACCCAAGTGCTCTCCCTCTCTTTTTATCTCACTCTCGTATCTCTGTCACTCTAACGCTGCAATTCATGCACATCATGCGTGGAAACGGAACACACCCACAGTTACCGGGAAGGCTCATATGTCGCGCCGCGGTGCGCTTCGGATATGGCTAAATATTTTCACAAATTTATTACTCCGAAACTAAGATCTATTCTATCAAACGCCGGGACACGTATCTTTTTTTTTCATCTCCAGAATAATTAAAAAAATTGGGGTCGAAATCCCAGGGTGAGTCACTTGGTCCTTCCCTTGTGAGCGTTACCTAGAGAGAGGAGAGTGTTGTGAGCGTGGAGCGTCAAGTAGCTCAGTGGTTTAGAGCAGTTGCCCGGCAAGCGAAAGACCTGGTTTCGAGTCCCAGCCTAGCAGAACCGCGCTCTCGATATTTTTCTCTTTCCTGGAACAAAAAGATACGCAGATCTCGAACCTAGTTATGGAATCTTCTATCACTATCTGCGTATCTTTTCCAGAAAAAGAAAAATATCCAGAGCGGATCTGCTAGGCCGGGACTTGAGTCTGGATTTTTCGCTTGCAGGACGACTGCTCTAAACCACTGAGCTATCTGACGCTTCACGCTTTTGCGACATTCTCCTCTCCCTAGATAACGCTCAGAGATGCCGTACGGAAGCGACATCTCTGGCGCGATCCTGAGCGCACGGCGACTACAGAGAGAAACAATGTTACTGTACCAAATGGTACAGTTGTCAAAGTCAAAGATTACTATCCTTTAAGACCTGCTATCCATGTATGCCCGTTTCCACCGTTGCCCCTCCTCATCCGGTGCAAATAATACAAAAAGCCCCAAGGCACCAATTTTTTGGCAGCCCCCGGGTGCTTGGGCGCAATGCGTCATGGGGGATTCACCATAGAAGGAGGAGGGCATGTATAATTTAATAAACTGTTTTGTAGTTATTACAGTTTTATATGCAGAATTGCGTGTGAAATTAATACACATAATTTCATAAATTATATTTCGTAGTTATTGCAACTAAAGCTTCAGTTATTTTTGCAATAACTGCCACACAGTTCATTAAACTATATTTACTATACTATCCAGCGCAATATTAAATGCAGTTATGATTGTACAAATATCGCTTACGTTTATTTAAACGAGTAATTCGGTACGTTTAATATATTTTTATGGGAACAGAGGAACATTAAAATATTTATGAGATTAAATGTTTCTCTTTGATTCTCCGTGAGATATATATGTACTAGAATAATCCTGCACCTTGGAAAGACCGATGTTGGCCCCTTTAGTTTTTAGTTGCTCTCTGAGAATTGTAATAATATAATTCTATTTACGTCTGGGAGAGTACAAGAAGTGGCGTGCCACTGAAACACTTACCGACTTCCTCGGGAAAACAATATGCATATATCGGAAGTTTCGCTAAAAGACGATTAAATCGCGACTTAAGGATCTTCTTTGTCTCGTTGAACGTTCCGCTCTGCTCCTTTTTGCTGGGATTTAAAGCAATATAGGTGTTCATCATAGCGGATAGATTACAGACTCATTTCACGGGAGACAGGGTGTAAAACCGGGATCCAAGGGGCTTCGCGCTTTCTCAACTTGGCCAAGTTTAGTATTTCTCAGCCCGTGAGGGTACAAGTGCTGCCATCATTATTGTTTTTCTATCGACGTGGCGGATCCACGCAGAAAACGAGCGAATTTAACGAGAAATGAGGGCATTAGATTTATAAAAATTTCTAGAGAGTTTGCATCCGAATAAATTGCTCGTTAATAAAGGATTGTGATTGTTGACTGTTGTATTTATTTTGTGCTTCCTCGCACCTTAATATTTCATATTCAGGAGAGTAAGGAGAAGCTTGTTCATTGCCTCGCTCAGATGATTGTCACAAATAAGTCGGACGATGTCGAGAGAAACGTTTCTCGTCATCTCGCCCCGATACCGCGGAGAATTTTCCTCTCCTTCTCCGCGTCTCTCGTTAACAAAGAAACAACACCATCTCGCCGTTATTCTCGCTTGAAATACGGAACATCGCAACTTTCGCAGGTGCACATGGATGAGCGTTAAAGAAAGCCGTGAACGACAGTTCGGTACAACGACGGAAAATGCGAACGAGGAAGGAAAATGCGAACGAGAAGGTCAACACCGAAGCGCGATACTCGCTGTGTTCGGAGCTTGCGCGCGGGAAAGCTTCGTGGAAAACCTCCGCGAACTCTCGTCTGGAACGCTATTTACTTAAAAGTATTTTTCCGCGCGGTGGATATTTATTTTCTGCGCGGCGGAGAGAGAGAGAGAGAGAGAGAGAGAGAGAGAGAGAGAGAGAGAGAGAGAGAGAGAGAGAGAGAGAGAGA